AATGACCACAGAGAGTCAGGACCTCGGTTTTACGTCTCATCCAAAGGACGGCGCCCGTTTACAGTATAGTGTCCCCGTCACTACACCGGGGCATTAGGACCCACATGAGCCGCAGGGTGAGCGCCCCCTGCTGGCCCCACTAACACCTCTTCCAGCAGCAACCTTAGTTTTTCCCAGGAAAAACCATACCTGGGTAAAAGACTAAGAGGCACCATATTAATGATTTTGTACTAATATTCGTTTTAAGAAATACAAAAAAGGACACGAAATGGAGGCTGTGCACTGTCAGACAGCAGTGCTCAGCTCGGGAGAACTGTAATAATCAGCTGATGGTCTCATTCCCTGTACAAATATGAAAACCAAGCTGGAGAATTCCTTACGGACTACATTGTGATAATATAAGCCAATGCACAGTATTCATCAAACATCACAAAGGGAAACAAGTAAAATCCGCACTGCAAAGCAGAAAGACAAACATTGTGTTCCTTCCTTCTATTTTTGGGTGTGAGCACCTCACTCCTGAAGATAACTCAGCAGCCAGAGTTTTTTCCTACTTTCCTGTGCAACCCTGAACTTCACATGTTCCTTCGCAGCCAACAGACACTGAGGGAGCTCCCCCCTTGAACCTCATGAAACCCGCTCCACGTGCAGTTTTGAAAGAAACAAATACAATTCCACAACAAGATTCAGGGCAAATAACACTTACCCTTTTCTTCTTCCTCTTCGTTATCAAAGTCCTTCTCCAAGAAGATGTCCTTAATAGCAATCAGATCCTTCTTTAAAGAGTCCAACTCGTCTTCCTCTAAGGACATTAAGATTGCCTGAACCTGCAAACGGAGGGTCAGAGAAAACAAGAAAGATTACGTACAGATCCCAGCGCAACAGAAAATGCAAGACGAGGTTTGTTCCCAGTAGTGGAGACATCGGTGGTACAATTACACTGAGGCCCTCACATTTAAGGGGTGCCAATGGAGTGGAAGATTTAAGTATTTACATTATCGATATATAAATCTTTCCGATCACACAATTTTCACAACAAATAGTAATGCAGACAGAAAACAAAATCATACTGATTGGAGTTTGCATTTGATTGACGTTTGCTATCTTCAGTCCTATATTTGACATGGGTAGCAAAGCAATGTTAAAACTATAGGTGAGGACACACACTCCAATCGTCGTGACATGGGCATAAATGTGGAGAGTAAGCAATGTGGTTAACAACTTGTTAGGTTGACAAGAAAAACATTGACGGAGTATCTCATTGGGAATTGATTCATCGTCTTCTGAACCAGAATGGCAGTAAATTCAAAAGAGAACACAGGTGTAATATATATTTTTACATAAAGGCAGGTGAATGCTCAGTTTGTACACTGCTTTAGCACATCAGAATGTTATGCCACCAACGACCTTTTGAAGCCTCTCACATTTTATAACAACATCTCCGCACAGAGCACTTGCCTTTGCCTCACTTTCGTTGGAGAGGATCTCCAGTGCCTCCAGATGCGACAGTCCCTGGAAGTCGTCAAACAGAATTCCGTAGTGAGCTGTGGGCTCAGTCACCAGTTGGCTGCTCATCCTCTGCCTCTCTTTCTCTTTAGCTTCCCGCAGCATCTAGACAAACAGGGCAAACCGAGACTCACAGTCCTGCCTGCTTCACACCTGCACCATCAAATGGAAGAAGACCGTTGGATGCCACTGGCTTATGGCTGTTCAGGGAATTTCAGTCACTTGTGACCTTGGTGTTTAGCTTCTGTACCACTTGGGCTTACCTACCTATTTACTAAGCTGATGCTTTTCCCCCCAAAGTGACCTAGTTTTACGTAGCTGGATATTTTAGTGGAACAACTTGAGGGAAGTACCATGATCCGGGGGACAACAGTATTCTCTTGAAAGGGATTTGAACCCACAACCCTTCAGTTTGGAGTCCAGAACCCTAACCACTGTCAACATTGTGAAAATAATAAGAAAATAATTTTTCAAATAACAAAATGCAGATAGCTATTAAGGTATTTTGTCAATCTAAACACTTCTTACTGTGATAGTCATTTCTTCTTCCTCTAATTGCAACATACCGTACGAGCAACTTATGCATGTGTTGTTATGCAACCATAATATACCTGTGAGAGAGAAACAGTCCTCTGCATTAATATTTTGGTCTTCTTAAAGCCAGGGTCACTCTCTGCAAGGACATTCATTGTCTTCCTACCAATAAATTCCAGCGCATCCAGACCCCCAGTTATGACCGACTTACCCTGCAAGAAAAAAACAAACAGCTCTCACAATTAAGAACACTGACTTCATTCTTCAAAATACACTATTCAAAAACTGGAGAATGCAGAACTCCCTCTCCAAATGCAGGTTCTACCACTGGGGCAGTGCTCCAGTCTTCGTTTCATCGATATCAGCTCAGAGGAACATGACTGGTTTCGAGACGCTTTTGCAACTCCTAAGTCAACCTGTTGCCTGTGTGGAAAAGCTGAACACTTGATTCATTTGATCTCCAGCTACTGGAGCTGAAATACTACCAAGTACTAATGTTAATGAACTTCTCAGAATTGACATTGCAGATCGAGGTAGCTGCTGTGAGAGGTGTTTGTGGATCAAAGCCTGGCACTTTGAACTCTGTGGGCCTCCAAATCTCTGAATCCCCAAGCCCCAGTATGAAAACCATGGAGACTGCAGTTGCAGCTGTGATCTTTTAAACGGGACATTAAACCGAGGTCCTGACAACAGGATCCCTTGTGTGCTTGTATGCCAGCTGAAGAGGTGAGATTCTTAGCGATTACAATTGATTTTTTTAATGAACCTTCTGTACCAAATATACTGTATGTGATGAGGCAAAGCAGTCCATGTAAAATAAAAACCTTTTGCATCAATTTCTTTGCTGCACTGCACAACAGATAACTTCTGCTTCGATAATCAGCTGACTAGTCCAGAAAAATCAAGAAAGTGGACTTGACTGAAAGGGGACTGGAAAGCTGGACTGGAAAGGGTCTGAACCACCGAAGATCAATAATTCTGAACCTATCAGATTTCCGAATAGCAGCAAGATGAACGTTTTCAGAATTGTTTTGCAACGACGCTGGCGGCGCAATTTATGTTGACATCAAAATCCATTCTCAACTGGTATAAACGGTATAGCCAAATCCATATCATGGCACATACTGTATTTCTACCGGTCAACAGTCTATACTGGTTATACCGCCCGCCCATAGGTGAAACCATAGGAAACCACAGTAAGTTTGCTCTGACTTACTGTGTTCTGAACAGCATTGGTGATGGTCGACAGAACCCCACGTGAGCCAGAGGACAGGGAAGAGGGAGAAGAGTCTGTCGGCCATTCGCAAACCTCTATCGTCAACAGAACAGATAACCAAGAACATAATTATTGTGGAAAAGGTGGTCAGAAAATTGATCGATAATAAAAACAAAGATAATGACATTATTTCTCTTTATCCAAACATTTCTCTTTAAAGGTGAAGTGATCGTGACTCTTCTTCAACACGGCGTATATTCCTTACTTTTGAACAGTGTCACCAGAAGAACAAATACAGGATATACATACAGTACCTGAATATAACACTGAATTGTTATAGTCGCATTACAGTGCTAACCAATTAATCGTACCTTTAATTGCAAGAATGGTCTGCTAATAAAAGCGTCAAATACATACTTTGGATGTATTTTAGCTCTGTAAACGTCGCTCACATAAAAATTCTGCAGGGCATTTGGAGTCGATCTGCAATGTTATCTGTAAAATGCACACTCGCATCTATCCGTCAATGTTATCTTAATGTTATTCATGCATTCCAAAGCTTGTAATTTGTTTATAGGAGAAATTTCAGAACCTCTTCGTGCTCAACTCCTACAGGTCGAGCATGTATCGAGCTGCTACAAGCAAACGCGTGCACTGCCCCTTGCGTTTCAGAAACACTTGTATTCGGGAAGCCAGGCTGTACTCCTTAAAACCCAAGATGCCAGTAGCATCTCATGTGTCTTATTTGTTTCGGGCCTGGTCTGATTATCTACCGGCGGCTTTTTGAAAAACGTTGATAAATGCATTTTTTTTTGCCATGTTGGCTAATAAACCAAAAAACCTGGCGCTAGATAACTCCAAGAGCGTCTGACAACAACGGTAGCCCATTAGGCTACGGCTACGCATGAACCTCCCCACTGCATTTACATAATTTTCTTATTGGTCACAAAAGATACAGCGAGCCAATAGCAAATCACACATGATGAAAAAAATCTAACAAGTAACATTAAAAACACATAACGCAAACAAGGGGAAAAACATCTTAAATTACTTTGGACTGATTGGGTAGGCCTGATATCAATCAGCCGCCCAGGCCCACCCGTGGCTACACCCCTGCTGTACAGTTAATATTTTGTTTTTATAGAAAACGGACTAGCTCAAAAGAGGCACTTTTTTATCCTCCATTTGCAGTTGCTTTGACCTGCGTTTGAAAGTGTTTTTTCTATTTTTATTCTATGCGTATTCGCCCGTGCGGGCTGGGGGCAATACGCTGCTGTAGACAGCTTTCGGGAATACCTGTGGCTTCTTCAACGGGAGACCCTGCATCCTTGGGCTCCTCTGACCCAGACGTCCTGTGTATTCTTAAAGTGACTCCTGCCTTTTCCTTCACAGCACTGAGTCCTTGGCCTGAACAGTACAGGAGAATCTTTACAGTGATAGCATGCATGTGCATGCGTGTGTCTAGATACATACAGTATGAATGCTTCATAGTATCTGAACCACAGCAAAGGAGCAAATAGGAGCAATAATGTTACCTTCTGTTAGCTCTTACTGTTACATTCACAAAGGTTACTTTTGGGTAAACAGACTGTCTAGTTAGGCTTATTAAACAGGGACAGGGCACAGCTCTTGAGCTGCACCAGAGCTAGCTAAAAAGCTCATTTACATCTGAAGCCCTTGGTCAGGACACAACCAACAAGATACAAAACACAGACATATAAAAACACAAAAATTAAGACACACAGCATCATATGGTAATGTACAGTAGATATTACAAATAGTAAAGTGCACAAAATAACAGCATGTTAAATTAACAGATATATCTAAAGTTTCACATTTGCAAAAAAAATCTGAAATTTGTGAGATTGTATCTAACCATATTTACAATCTTTTTCACACTGTTCTTGAATGTAAGATTTAAATCAATGATCCCAAGATATTTAAAATGAGACAACTTTAAAATGCTCATCATTTACAACACTATTAGGATGATGTGCCTTCTTCTTTTTGATAGAGAATTACAGACTGTCTTGCTTACATTTAATGAAAGGCATGAATTTGAAAGCCAGTCTTTAATTTGCTCATAGCTGAGGTTAGTTTATGAGCTACTTGTAATGAACCTAAATGTACTGTATGGCCTGACTCTATGTAAATTACTTCCATTGGAGAGAAAGAAAAACAAGAGGTTTTGAAATTGATGTGTTGCTCTATCCAGCTTTACTTACTGAAATGTGTCAGCAGAATATTCAAAAAGGAGTAGAAAACAAGAGAACAGGAAGAAGAATGATCTAGAAGATTATTAACTGAACAACAGAACATCATACAGTGTACAGTATGTAATAAAAATGTCCCCTGATTTTCATGTCTGTATACAGTATGGTAGTCGTATCTTTACAAATTAAAATACATTTGTGGAAATCCTTTCTAAAACACAAGAAAAGGTATTAAAAACAGTCTAAAAATAAAAGCCCTGCTGTGAAGGTGCTGCCTCTCAATAAAAATATTCCTCACCCACTGAGCGCCTTCAAACATCAACCAATTCCCTCCAGCCTTTGAAGTTTCCAATATCACGAAAAAACCTTTTACTGTGACATGTACATATTTTCCGACATTGGGCTTTTTTACATACAAGTATACAGTGTATAATTTTGCGAGTTTGAAAGTTTCAAATTTGAATTTTTTAAAAATGTTTGTCTCTGCCTTCTGTGTACAAACTACGACTGACTGTCAAAAGTCTTCATCTTTTCAGTGTCATTAAAAGGTTTGGCAGGGCAGTGGCACAGTGGCTAGCAATGCTGCCTCAGCACTAGGGCCCTGGGTTCGATTCCTGGATTCTGGTGTGGGTTTTCACCAGGTGCTCCAGTGTGCTCCCACAGTCCAAAGACATACAGTACAGGGATGTTTACTGGCCACTGGGAAAAACGGCCAGGGATCGAGTGTGTATGTGTGTCCTGCGTGGTATCCTGCCTTGCTCCCGTTGCTTGCTGGGTTAGGGTCTGGCTCCCCCACAACCCTGGACTGGATGAAGTGGTTGGAAAGCAGATGGATGGCTAAAATGTTTGGAAATTGCACATGACTATTCCAAACATCTCAGCCACGGAGAGAACAGTCATTGAAGGCAACATTCCTCGCACGCCTTCAGTCCGACAACCTCCAGTCCAATAACATACAGACATCTCTTCTTTAACAATACGCTACAGTGCAGCCGAGGAAACCGTCTCATACTGCATGTGAAATGTGTGCCTTCATCCAAGGTGAGCTGTACAGCTCTTGAGGGCGTGTGCTGCCCGATAAACAATCTATTGCGTATCATTGACCTTTAATCAATACTGAACCAGCAAGACTTCTGGGAGGAAGCGTGCGCTACAAATCCGCTTAACACTACAGACATCATGATATACTCTAACAATGTAATGGTACAAGTTAAGGTTTATTCCGTGCTGAAAAGAGAAGTAAAGAAACACACCATTCGGGCTGTGGAAATGTTGTGTGTCTTTTCTTCTCTTTTCGGCAAGGAATAAACCTTTACTTGTTCCTTTGCAGCCTACGCATGCTGAGGCAGCACCCTACTTGATCTAACTCTAACAATATAAGGTGCTTAAGCCCATGCACAGATTCTAACTCCATGCTAAGCTCCCTTCCCTCCCTAAGTGACCCTTTGAACTGCCGGTTTTCACTTCTGTGATTCTGAATGGCAGACCTGTTGGCAGACTTACCCACGGTAGAGGTGGCGCTGGTCAAGAGAGACTTCCCCCACGATCCCCAGCCGCCCCAACTCTTGGCCGTCCCGGGGGAGGAGGACTCCTGTGTGAACGAAGCAGGAGAGATCACCTCTGCTGCGCTATCCCAGAGCAGGCTTTCAGGCCCAGCGTTAAAGCACGAAAGCTCGAGTGTTACACGGACAGCTGCAAGTGCTTGTATCAAACCATGAAGAGACACAGGCGTGCGACATTCGAGGGGTGTTAAGAGTTTCACATTATGAAAGATTTATGCTAAATTCTGATGAGAGCAAGTCACAGGGAATCCCACAATGACTGGGAATGAGGTGCAGGAATTTTGGGCAAGAGGTCGCATTTGTCAGATTCTGAAGAATGAGCTAGTTGTCTGGAAGACTCCTGGGAAATAACAGTAGATAATCGACATATTCGGTATCCTGACCAGCTATGAAATAACAATGATCGTTTTCTTGCCCGTTCTGTAACTCAAAGTTACTAATGATGCAGAAGTGAAAACAACAGAACTGACGCTACCGATTTCTTTCCTGTCCATTGGTTCTTCTCAGCAATTGGCAGTTGGCATCACAAAAACATGGATAGTTTGGATATTCTGATCTAGCGGATAAAATGTCATGTTAAATCTTTCAAACAAATAAAAACAGACTTCCTGTGTAATAATGTAATGTAATGTTTCTTTATTAGCCCTATACAATTTCTTGCATTAGGAATGCATCTTTTCGCATACCCCAGCTTTACTCCATGGAGACACAGACACACAGACAGGGAGAAGCTCGGGGTCAGAGCGCAGGGTCAGCCATTGTACAGCGCCCCTGGAGCAGTTGGGGTTAAGGGCCTTGCTCAGGGGCCCAACGGAGTAGGATTCCTCTGCCGGCCGCGGGATATGAACCGGCAACCTTCCAGTCACAGGCGCAGATCCTTAGCCACAGAGCCACCGCTCCGCCCACAGTAGGTCACTTAGCACTGTAATGGAATGCATTCATTTCTTTTCATTGATAAGCTCTTTTCATGCCATTGATAGTGTTGGACTACTTTTGGACAACGTAACATTGTGTATCCTTCTTAACTGTTCCGGCTAAGAGGCCTAGGTCTCCACACAGCCGTCTTCCCTAATTCACGGACCAAAATCTGTGACAGCAAGTGCTGGGAAGAAAGCGAAAAGCTCATTTTGTGGATTTCAGCCCCCGAGTGTGCGACGCGGCAAAGACAACACTACCTGCTCACTGTCCCCCTCAGGTCCCGCGTGGTCTCCGGCCGTGTCCGGCTCCAGACTCACTGACTCGTGACACTCTGAGGGCTGGCCGCCATCTCCTTCCTCCCCCATCAGAGCTGAGCTCGGGACACCGTCTCCGGCAGCGCACTCTGAGGTCTGCACTCCCTCCTCCACTGGGGGCTCGGCAACGCCACCGCTTGGCCCCTCCCTCCCAGCGCCTCCCGCACTGGCCTGGCGGTCTGGCCTCTCACTCTCTGTGTGTCCCGGAGCCTCCGTCGGCCGTCCCGAAGACTCTTCCGGCGAGTCGGCGGCTTTCGGACAGGACGCGGCGTCCGTGTGAGGATCCAGGAGAGGCTGTCCAAGTTCAGCAGCCTTGCTGCCACCCACCCCTCCCTGTGACATTGTGCTTCTGTGGTTGGAACACAGGGACATCAGAACAGACCCAGTCTGGACCCTGCTGCAGCCCACATTCACCAACACTGCAACCTAAATTGATCTTTATGACACTGAACAATGGTTAAGAGCCGGCCATTAGCTATTTCAATGACTGACACTGGAAACTGCACAAATTGAATACAAAAATGTAATAAATAACAAGTTAAAATCCGTTATAATGCATCTGTGCTGCATTTCTCGTCATTAAACAGCTCCACATATGGCAAGACAATAGATCAATGGACAAGCCTCACCGATCTTTTTTGCCAAAGGCTGTTACATCTCTTGTAAAGAATTGTCTGTCACAGACTTTTGCGTGCCACAAATGAGGTGCTTTTAAGATAGCAAGGGGGTGAGGAAAACAAAAAGGCAACAGTACGCAAAAAGTCATATGCAGTTGTCAGAATGTCACATTTTGCCATATCTTTTTCTGTCACAGAGTAGGCGGAATAATGATTCACGAATGAGGATGAAACCACATCTGACAAAAAGATGAAAGAGGAGAATTTCATACGCCAAGAAAAGTCCCCAAATGCACTTGCAAACATGTCAATGTAGTTTTCATTACATACTGTATAAAAAGTTTATTTATTAAAAAAAGGATCGATTTCTATGTGCTCTGAGCCCACTAAATTACAGATCTTGATGTTTTCTTGACGTTTTCAGAGTACGGGAGGAGTTCACAATGATAACTTTGTTTTCTACGACTCACTTAAGCAATGAAGTAAAAAGTCCAACACAAAAGCCCTTTCAAGTCGATTCAGTTTTACACACGCCTAAAGAGTGACATCGTGTGGCTGTTTCGTTTCAAACGCCAGTACTGTAGATGGTAAACTTTAAAAAGTACATTAGTATTCTGAATTTATAAAGGGAGAAGTTTGTATAACGAATGCATTAGAAGAAAAAAGAAATAAAAACCGATAGCCTTCATTTATCTTAATTGCTCACATTAATAATGCTTGAATGCTGTGAATTTTACAGGGAAAGAGCTGTTTTTTAGCTGTTATTTATGTAAAATATATAATTTGCACTAAAACTCTCTAAAACGTTTATGACAATTTGTACTGATACTTTATTGTACCTTTACCAGCTTATTGGAGAAAATCTGCACAATTAACTTTAGAGAAAAGAAAACCCTTTTTTTCCCCACAAGACTTTAGTCATCAGCTACGCAGTCATTGTATGCTTAATGACTCGTTTTTAATAACGTAGCCTTTTTCAAGTGCCCAGAATTCGTGGCACCTGTTTTCAACGCGATTAAAACGCAAGCATTAATTTTGAAATAGTTCAGTATCTCACCCGTCGCGCTGTCAGCCGGCTGGTCCACTCTCCTTCCTCCCCTCCCTCGTCTCCGCCACGTCGGCAGGCAGCCCTTGTTGGGGGTGACGTCACCGTGAACTCTGCTCCGGGCTGCAGCGCCCCTGGTAGCCGAGCGATGGCGGCGTTGGGCGCTGCTGGATGTAAGATTCTCATTGCTCCATCAGTTTTGCGAGAGCCCACCGAGACATGTATCTGTGTAAATGCGGACATAAGTACTGGCAACCTACGTCCACCGGCGTTACTAATTTATTAAGAGAATTGCGTTTGATACATTCCATCTATTCAAAGACTGTTAAAGACAAGGCCTCACTATGAAGCGATAGTTAACACACTTTCTTGTAAATCGTTCCGAAAGGGCTACCGATTTTAACAGTGCAAGATTTTAAATATTAACAATATCCACTTTGTGTGTTTATTAACGGTGCTATCATCAGGTGCGTCGTGGGCAGGGAATGTTAAGAATTGCCCAGCGTTTTGGATAAAGAGCAATTTTTGAAACTGATGCAGGCTGTTAAGTGGTTGAATTAGTCTACACTACTTGTTTCAGTCTGTGTAAATGGTAGTATACAGTACATGGCCGTGGTAGGATCTCCATGCCCTTGCTGGACTGGCTGATGTGGATGATGATGAGGAGAAACCATAGGCTGGAGGAGGAAGTGTAACTCGGGTCGACAATTTGGATCCCCAAGGTGGTGCTATAATAATATTGCACAGGGCTAGAATAGAGCAACCCCACTGCATTTGTTAATCCGAGTCCGCATGAGCGCATTAGATTCTATTAGAACTACAGATGCAGCCACTCAGATCGCGCGGTAATACGCAATACCACGTTGAATGTGTTGCCGCAAGGTGCGTTGCACTTCGACTATGTGTCGCTGGCCAAAGACGATCGAGAGGTGGTGCGTTAGATGTTAGCGAAACGATTGCTTCGTTTAATCTGTTTCCCTACTTAGTCCACTTAACATATAATATTAAAATGGAATTATGTAACTAAAGAGACATTTTGTTATCTGAAAATAAGCATAACAGAAATATGTCATCTCTAAACGTCACAATCAATATCAATTTATAAATATATATTACACAAACTGTATATACAGCAGCTGGCAGCTGTATTCCACCTTCTTCATAAACAGTTTCTACATCAAAGTCTTTAACTCGGTCACTTTGACATGCTTATTCTATCTTGCTTGTTTTATCTACTATAATGTTTTGACTTTTTCTATGAATACTTGCTGTCATTATTTTGGTAAAAACGTCATATTAATTTGCTTAAAAAACCTAATATCAAATATTAATATGGAATCATGCAACTAAAGCAAATTGTGGTAGCTCAAAATAAAAATAAGTTCTGATAATCAAGGTTCCTATTGTTAATAGGGTCATTAACGATATTCATTTATATATTTATATAGCTGGTAGAAGGCTCATAAAGCCTTGCATGCTCTGAGTGGCTGCATCAGTATATTATGTCCTCTTCTTCATTTTATTTTGTTGTGGCATTTTATGTCTGTCAGATACAGTATTTACTGTGGGTGTTACAGTACACCATGATATGATGCTGCACAGCCATGAAGGGGAAATTCAAGTGTGACGTTTTAGACTTTGTCCAAGTGAAAAAGAGGTTTTCATTTTTGGGATCCCACTTTAACCACAAAACAGAACTGGGGCATTGGCTATATGTCGGAGGAGAACGCTGCGTTTGTATAAAGGTTAAGGGCAGATCAAAGGCTTGTGACAGGGAAGCTCACTAGGTGACAGTGTCATAGTTCAGCACAATCCATAATTTGTCTGGGGAACATCTGGCAGCTCAAATCTTTTTCTCTCTGATCTATTGTGTGGCGGTTTTCTCTCTGAACTGCATGATTGCTTCTCCTGATGTCTGCTGCAGCACAAGTCAGCAGTACTAAAGTAAATGTAGCCATTTAAAACAAAAGTATTAAGCCTAATAAAATGCTTGAGGTCGCATTTAAGATGGGATCTTTGAGAGAAATTCTTAAAGAGGATGGAGACTGTGTAGAGCTTCAACAGCCAAGAGGTAGAAATGATGTCCTGAAGGAAGGCTGACTTGAAGGATACAAGTATAAACGTGGCCATAAAGAGACTGAACCACCATGAAATGCCCAGAATTCCCAAAAATGGTCTTCCAACACAAGAGTGAAGGTGCCATTCAACACAACCTGCCTGGCCCTGAGAGAGAAGTTCTGCCTCAGAGTTTGGAGCAGAGATAGGCCACATTAATACTGTATCTCCATAGAGGTAAACCACCCAAAGAGAACATCTTTCTTCATTCCAGATCGTACCAGGAGCTGATGCCCAGAGCTTTGGAAAGGCAAGCCCTCCTCAGTGGTCTACAAACCTCACCCTCAATGCTATAATACCTGTCCTGACAAGTACACCTCAGGGCAGCGTTTCGATGTCACATTGCCTGAAGCCTCTACAGTGTATAGAATATGACAAGGTCATAATTAGGCTTGCCCACGAGGGTAGTAATGTTCCCGGAAATCAAAACTGATATTATGACTGTTGTATTTGAGTTTTGGAAAGGTGATCCCACTCGATGCAGTTATGCAGTCAATAAAAGGTGAGACAGACCCCGCTCTTGGTTAGAGGTGTCCTATGGATCTGAACACGCAAAAGCGCACACTGACTAGACTCATGAAGGCCTGAGAAGCTTTATTTCCGAGTTCATCCTCATTTTCCAGATTATTCACAGGCTTGTCAGCCAACCCCCATCAGTACCATGCACACCACTTGTATACCAAACACACTACTGGTTATATCTTCTTCACAACCTCCAGTGGCAGGTCAGCTGTTCTTGCAGTCTGTTCTTAGGCTGGCCTGTCACAGGCACCTTTTCTATTCTGGTTCCCATGAGCAGCGAGCAGAGTAGATCTGGAAGAGGACCTCTCAGTCAGAATTACCCCTGCCAAAAAACACTCTTGCCCTGCCTAGGTGGGCAGCCTTCTTGTAATTGCTACCTTTGTGCCAGTTCACAAGCAGAAGCTTCCATAGCTCACAGTCCTGCTCTTGTCTCTATTCGTTTGTCCTATTGTGTTCATCTATTTTAATATTTATCAATAAAAAATTGGCATCGGTAAAGAACTCCTACAGTGTGTCACTAGTTTCAAACATTGTAATTGGCACCTGTAGATCTTGCGTTAATTTTTTATATTTAAATAATACTTTATTTATTTTATTTTAATTTTTTGTGTCTTTACGAAGAGTGTCCAGACCAGTTCCATGAGAAAGGTGCTATCAAGGAAAGAGATAATCAATATAATAGGAATTTAGCACTGTTGGGAATACTGTGCTTTTGGTTTTTAATTACAAAACATACAGTGCATACATTCAATTTAGGGGGAATGCCAGGATTTTTACCATTGAATAATATGGAAATAATACATGTTGTAAATTATTGCTAGGAAACAGGGTCTGAAGGCAATTTGTCACCAGTAGTCATATCTTAGTAAGTAAAATACTGTTTTGGGAACTTTAGATAAAAGCCTCTGTGGCTTCTGTTTAAAAAAAGCCTTACAAATACACAGCTAATTAATTCATAACATTCCTGTCGTGCTTTCTTGATACATGAAAGAGGGGGGTAATTAGGACTAGCTTTAATGAAGCATCTGTACATCAGCTTTGTTCAACTGTTCAATAAATGGCATCTGAGGTTCTTAATCTAATTGCATTTCAGGGTCCGAGTCTAAAATGCCTTAAGGCCCTTCACTTTGTCCTTTCCCCCCATGTCTCTCCTATCTAAATTCCTGATACAAGCACTCAGATGAAACATGAGCACAGCTACCAAATATAGATGCCAGAGTGAAGTCTGTTGCAGAGGACAGATGTAACTTGCAGGGTACACAGAACACCCTGCTTGCTGTGGACTGCTAACAGTCATAGACCTGACTAGTAGCAGTCACAAAATTTAATAGAGAGTGGTGTCTTTCCAGCCCTTCCACTGGAATTGCTTAACTTTGAATACAGTCTTTCAAACTGGAAGGTAACGTATTATCATTTTCATTTGCTTAATGTACTGTTTAGAAAAACTATTACATTTCTGTATTATATTCTGTGTATATTAGAAGTTTGAAATCCAATAGATTTGTTCTAAATACATGGTACTGTTGGCAATGAATAGAAAAAATAATATGTTAATAAAGCACTTGTCTCTATTAACATACTTATTTTAATGTATTGTGTTTCATTGCTAAGAGTGCACAGACCAGTTAAATGAGCACAAGTACCACCAAGTGGACTGATATATTAGGAGCATTTTTTACTTTTGGGAATATAGAAAAATGAGCTTTTTTTTTAACTGCAGCAGAGAAAATGAAACTTCAGATACATAGTGTGCTTCCATTCATACATTACATTTGGAAAGTTTTCCAGTACCATTTAAATCAATTATCACAACTGATCAAGGCCATAAGGTGGTGGCAAATCACCAGTATTCATATCTTGGCTATACAGTGTTGCCAGTATAAACAGTGTACTGTAAGTCAATAAATGTACTGTATGATTCTACAAGAAATGGATACATGTCATGGTATCCATTTTTTAAGGTTTATAATTACATACATTTAATTCTAAATTATTCAGGAGTGAAATAGTTCAAGTTTTCAATTTTCAATAAATATATCTTATTACTAGAAATAATAATAATTTTAATAATACTTTAACACTGCATGGTGACACATTCTGTCAAAGTTAAATTCTTTAAGTACAATTTGGTTGCTGTCGTATGCCATACGCCAGGTAACGCGTTTCTTAACGTGAAGGACAATAAATAGAAAATATTTAATTTTTCAAAAAGTATATGAATATTTCAATACCTTTTGTCGCTTCATCTTTGACACAAATTGTTCCCTGCCAGCTTGGTGAACAAAGGTATTATGAAAAAAATAGTGAACAACTTCTTTTCTGTTTCCACATCAATAATTTAACACTTTCTCTGAACAGCACATTACATCGTACATAACAGGAAGGCCATGAAACAAGCCTGTGTTGCATGCCTGCAATTAGTCTTAAAAATAACAACAGCTGGTATATGTGACACTGCACAAGAAGAATGTAAAGCTCAGACACTCGCCCTCTCAATATTGGAACTTTCCAGACTTCCTTACTTCATTACAAAGCGTGAAAGCAACGCTTGTTGTGTTTGTGTTTTTGTTACATCTTAGTAATACAGCAGGTAGGAGAATTAGGAAGTTACACACTGTCATCAACTAGGTAGGATGGCAGATCCTTTTTATTGGACAAGAAAGAAATCATTTAAGTTAAAAAAAATTGTGTGCAGTCCAACACAAAGATTAAATTTAATGTTATGCTATGTTTATTTTTATGTTAACAACATGTTTGGCTTGAATTTGGAATTTTGTTAACGGATTTATTAGTCATCAGGTTTTAATATCGTTTCTTACTCAGACTCTACTAAAAAAGGTTCATTTTAAATAGATAACGTACAAAATGATTTACACGGATGTAAACTTTCAGAATTCGTTATTTTCAAGGGATGTGCGATTTGGGTTTTGTGTTTTTCTTTAGAGTCTTTTTTCTGACATTTGGTCATTCAGGTTTTGATTAAGAATAATCACTTCACTCTAAAAAAATATGTATGCGTTTGTAAATAAACACAATGGGACATCACTGGAAGGTGATACTTTTGAGAGGCACTGTGCATGATAGTCTGAATTGTACCAAGGGTATTGAAATAAGTGCACCAACGTTCTCAACATCAATACTAGCAATCCACTATGTTGTCTGTTGTACCTTAGCTTTGTCATTCACAATCACTAATTCTACCCTTGGATACTGTACATGTAGAGTGAAATGTCATTATGAAGATTTCTTATTTAAGCATAAAAGCTTCCTTTATGCTTATTACAGTAGTAAGTTTAGTTGTTTCATCTACCAAAGCAATTTCTTATCACATACTATACGCTTTGCAGAATTCTCTGCTTCTTTTTGTTGAATTTGCTTTGCCTCAGACAACCTAAAACGCTGTAATGGAAACCATTACTATGTATGATGCAGTCCGACCTATTAGCCTTTTCAATTGTAAAAGTACCTGTAAAACCACCCCGGAAAGCAAAGTCTTCATCGTCCATCAAGTAAAGTGGTCTGATGTGTCTGCGTTGTGTCCTAGGATGCAGGATGGGAGCGGTGATCACACTGTCCCTTTGTCTCAGATGTTAAAGGAGGCATACTCTGCAGAGAGGAGGCAACAGGAGGATGTCAGTGACAGTGCTGTGCTGTCGGAGGACTCCTCACACAGTGAACATTACTTTGATTCTTTAGCGGAGATGGGAGACACCGATGGAGACTTCTCTGTGCTTTCGGCTTTTCTCAACCAGGACGAGATCAATAAAAGCCTTGATCTTGCTCGAGAGGCATTTGCTGCTGAAAGCCCCCAAGAACCAAGCCACGAGCAGCAGTTTTCCTATTTCTTTAACACCCCTTTTCTTAATACGACTGAAAACGCCTCGCTCCCAGAGACCAAAACCCCTCCTTTTGTGGATATAAAACCTTCTCAGGACACACTTCTGGACTCTCCTCAGACCAGAAGTCCTGCTTTGGATAATTATGATTTACACAAGGACACCAGCAGTCAGAGGCCCCAGACGCAAACAAACACGGACAACCAACTTCAAGCGCCGAACGACGATTCTGCGCCAGAAAAAAAGTCGATCCTTTCCGAATACAAAAGGGACAAACCGAAACTTGTTCACCAGGAGCTGTACCACAGTGACGCGGGGTCCAAGAATGAGTTTTGCAGTCGAGCGGCTTCTTTCATTGAGGAGCTGTCAGCCATGTTTAGGGGCTCTACGAAGCCAGAGAGGTGTGCGGACGACGACTCCTCATCACCAGACAGCGGGTACCTGTCTCCTAAGGATCACAGTTTGCCACCCTGCGTATCGGCAGAGCCGCTGGGCAGAGATCTTCATCAGCAGGTGCCAGAGGGGCAAAACCTACCCTTTCTGACATCAGAGGCCCCAGGTGGAAGCACTCAAGAAGACAGCAACACACTCACTTGCCCTCCTGGTCCACCACACTTCACCCAGAAACTCAGGAGCCAGGAAGTGGCAGAAGGGAGCTGCGTCCAACTGGAGTGCCGAGCTGCAGGAAATCCCGAACCGCTGGTCAAGTAGGTGGCTGTTGGACACTGTCTTGTGGAGTTAAGCCTTGGGTCTTAAAGCATTATCTTTAGATTGAACTGTGAAGCCCTGGAGCTTGAGCATCACTGTGTACTTTATCTGAAGATTGTTTTAGAAAAGCTTAGCTGAGATTGCTTTAAATAACGACAGAGGTCTCACATAAGTGTTGTGGGACCTCGCTATGTGCTAATGTTTTTATTTATAACTTCGGAATGTGCTACACCGTTATAGAACATAGGGGTTTTATTTTAAAAGATACCATTGTTAATGATATCAGCAATCACAAATAAATTCCATACCCAATTACAGAATTTCATTAGATAAAAGCAGGAGGCCCCTGACGTAAGCAGGTTTTGGCAGTTGGACAATTGAAATTGTGATTTAATTCCGGCCTTTATCACACAACACTAGCATTACCTTGCTCAAAGAGTGTTGAATGGGGCTACATCCCTAAGGTGCAAGAACACTTTTTAATTGATATGGTCCCACTGCTAGATGAACAAACACATTAATACAGTGAATTCACTTGCTGGCTATTAAACTATCAAATTATTCACAGCTTTTTTCACTTCGTTATAAGCCATGTTAGATGTTCATTTCACTTGTTCGTGATTGAGTTTGAAACTGGTAGGTGGTTGAATGCAATCAATTCACTGACAAATTTGATTTCTGCACATTTACGGTGATATGTAGTTAAACATATCCTGAGAGTCAGTTTGTTGGATGGATATCCAGCGAAAATAGCAGCCTCTGTTAGAAAAGGCTGACTGAATTCTAAGAACACTTTTTATTAGGCCTCAGTGAGATATCCCTAGACACAGTGACATTTTCCAGGCCAGTTCTGCAGATAACACTTCGGAGGGAGACCACAGAAAAACAGGGAAGCTGATAGGCAGGCAGTATGTGACACCTGCTGTGGGCCGTGTTGTTTGTCAGGATCTAGACTAGGTGACAGGAAGACCATGTTTAGCAGCTGAACAAAATGGAGGAATGATAGCTATACTCAAATGCGCTTTAGGAAGGATCTGCTGCAATGAAGCAAGGGGCAGCTTCTTTGATATAAATAGGCATCCGTCAGCAAGACCCCAGCAAGGAATGCGATGATGCAGGATTTTCAGAGCACACTGTTGCTGCCTTGTCTTGAATATCTAGGTATGCCTTGTCTTAAGGAAACAGTTCAATTTTCACATCTCAAAACCAGCTTACAGTACAGTATGTGTCCTAGACACTGACTGGATCTGTTACTTCACAGCAGGGGTCTCAAGCTCAGTTCCTGGAGGACCAAGTGTCTTCTGGGTTTTGCTTTGCCTACATTACCATGTTATTTAGCAAGTCGAATTATTTAATTAGAGTCATAACAGTAATATTTCAGACCAGGCTCTTGGGTGATTTTTAGGCAGTGGTACCTTGTGTGAACAAGTGTAAAAGACCTTAAGCAAAACTCCTACATGTGTCTAATTTAGAAAACATTTAGCTGAATTGGTGAATTGACTGCGCAGGTTTGAACAAACACCAGAAGTCACAAGGCATTCCCGGAGAGGGGTTTGATGTCCCAGCTTTAGTGGCACTTCAAAGCAAACCAAAAAAGAACCTTTTCTTGACCTTGTTTGGCTTTTTGCACTTCTGGAGTCTTCAACATGCAAACATGATTTTATTTTTAGATTTCTGTGTCTTTTAAAAGAGAAGTGTCATCTGGGGAATCTCGGATGTTAAAAGGTAGTGCTAATGTTCTCCATGTAAAAACGTTCTGTGACACAGTCCTGAAGTATGAATCCTCAGGGAAAATGTTGGACATTATAAGCACTATTTTGGCAGACGAGAGATTTATGATAAGGGCCTTGTATCAAAAGGTTTTAAACAATAGCTGCAATGTTTGAAATTGGACATCGTCATGGGAAAGTGATTTAACTGTGAGCAGTTAGGGCAAAGGTTAGTGTTGACGGTCAAGGTTACTCATTCTTTTCATTTTCATGGCTGTTTTATGGAAAAGCTCAGCTTCAACTGGCTGAAATCATCTCTTGAAAGCCATAGGATTTTCAGGTTTAGTGGTCTGGTATTTCGGAATGGAAACAAGAACCACAACATGGTTAAGGGTGAATATTACTATAAATCTTATCAAAACTATTAAGACTTCTTAGAAAGCCGTGAACAACCTTACATACAGTACTTGTATGAAACATGAAAAATCTGAAGAAGTCTGTCAGAGGCATCAATTTCTTCAACAGAATGAAAATGCCCTGGTCCAGGTCCCATCTTTGCATACTAAACAAACGCAAAATATACTGGTAAAAAACTCCTGGATCAAAAGCGCATGTGTTTAGTCATGTTCAGCTGTTTTATGATGCACAATAGCAGAAACAGCTGTGTGCATTCCTGCAGGGTCGGTAAACAATGACCCTTACAAGGAAACAAGGTTATTCTAGTTATCAAACTTAACAGATAGATTTTCAATTTCATACAAAAGTGCGTGGACATACACGTTCATGGTCATGAGTAGATGCAACTCACTCTGTCCCGAAGGTCTTCAGCAGGACTCCTCATCAGCCATGGGTGTCAGAGCCCACAGGAACGCCAGGGGGCAGCACAGGATGTGAAATGAAATGTTCAGCACAAACAAAATCACAGAATCCAGACCTCACTGTTGGTAAAATACATCTGTTGCGAAGGTTTGACATGGAAATAGTTCGGGAACATTGATTATTATCAAAAGTTTAAGTTATGGGAAAGTGCAAGGTACCGTTGTGCAGCTACTAAAAGGTAGGTCCTTGCGCACACCTATCCTGTGAAATGCTTTTGCTTAGATGTGGAACACAATGCCCGTGGTTTCTTTTACGTCTCAAAACCAGTGAGAAAAAACATTTTCCTTGCAGTCTGGTTTTGAACATGCTTTTAATTTCAATGAAATAAATACCTTTCGAGATTGCACAGCAGAGTAAATAGATGACATTAATTTGATTCTAATTTAACTTCTAGACCGCTTTCCCTGTAGAGTTATCGAGGTTTCAAATTTAAAAGAAGTGAAGTGAAGGAGATTGGTGGCTATTTTTAAGAGCCGCCACCCATGGACCAGCAACAAGATAAGTATAATGTTTTCAACTAGTGTACAGCTGGAAAACCTGTTGTAAGCTCCTGCTTTAAGAGACACCACCTGCTTTAAGAGAATGAAATATATTGCAGTACAGTACTGTATATCGGAGCTGTGCGCCCATGTCACTAAATATAATTTAAGCGTACAGTAAATTAGGTTCAAAATATGAAAATATTTTCAAAAATTAAACGTTGAATTTAATCCATACCTTTTTTACCAAATGTCACGGACGTCCGTGAAATACATTGTTCTACATTTTATATTGGAACATACTGTCTTTTAGGTGTTGGTCTACACTTATTCCCTTCAACACCTAACAATTCTGATGAATAATTGTCCGTGTTAGATGAACCTTGTTGATTTTTTAAACTACTTTAGGACATAAGAAATTTTTCTGAACGAATGGAGGCCAATCGTCCTGTCTACTGAAGCTTGTTCAGTAGTTAGTAGCTAAGTGATCTCAAAATACCCAGCTGATGTGATATCCAGAGTACCAACCTGCATCAGCAACCAGAGAAGTCAAAGTCAAAAACACAGCTGGGCATCCTGTTTCATATCCCCACAATCCTTTATGTAAAGACATGATTCCTGTTCTCTGTTTTTAATGGACTTCCACATAGGTTCCACTTTTATCTCCTGCTTTGTGTTTCATTGTTTATTCTGAAAAGGTCCACTTTGTCAGTGCCTTTGAAGGCATTTCGAATGCAAGTATCAGATCACCTTACTTAAGTATTAAGTAGCATTAAACATTTGAAAATACTTAGAAAACTTGTAAATTGCTACATTATCAGGGTAATTCAAATTAAAATAATAAAGATCATTAGGGCAATTACGTACAACAACATCAGTCCTGATTATGTTTTTTTCATTGTTGTTTTAATCTAGACTTCATACAGAATTTATTTCCATTAATTCTGTTCCTGTTCCTGAAAGCATTCTGAAAACATGATACATGTTACTAATACAAAATTAAACCTGATTTATCATTCAGCTGAGCCATTAAAAACATAGAAATAACTTTGCATGTTTTTCTCAGTTTTTTTTTAACTGCCCAAATACTTTGGCCTGGGACTAGGAGTTTATTTTCCCTATGGGAATAATAATTTAATATGGAATGAGTCACTTCCCAACAGGGAAACAGGTCCTGCATGAGTGAACAAGGGTTATAGGTCTATGTTAAGTTTCTGATCATTAATTCCCTTTTTTACTTTCTGATATGTGAACATATGGGCAGACTGCCCGTGACTTGACAGCTCCCATCAATTTGCGTTTTTACCCAGTTTGATGGGTTTTTTTGCACACAGTTGCCAAAGGCTTCAAATGACAAACCATCACCACAGGAACGAAACAAAGATTGTTTTGTTCTCAGATGGTTTAACACACCATCTGAGATCTGCTGGCATTCCAAGGCAAGTGGCGTTCTTGTCATTGACCGAAGTGAATTAAAGATGATTTTATTTCATGACTAAAGTTTAGCTAGAAGAGCATTTATGTCACGCTGATGACTGCCTGGTATTTGTAAATGTTTACTGAAGACTTTGTTTGCCAAGTTGTACAAAGGGGCTCATTGAAATTCTGTTTTCGAAAAGATCACTGCGTAAACAAAAAACAAAACCCGATAGTGCCTTTAGAGGCCCTGACATTATTTTTTTTAAGAACAATGACATTCATGAAGGCCAGGCACTGGAAAGGCCTCGAGGCTGAATGGACAACTTTAATTAGGGAAATTTCTTTAAAAAAAAAAAGATGTGTAATTATGTAACATTCTTTTTATTCAGACCTCTGACCTTTTGTGTGTCTACAAAGCACAGTTTTTCACAATTTATCCTTCCATTCTTTCAAACGACGAATTTCAAATCACTTTACTACAGGATCATGGAGGATTTGCATTTTTCTCCTTAA